GGTACCGGGGTCGAGCGTGACTGTTGCCTCCGCTGCAATATTCGCCGTGGAGTGAATCGTACCAGACCCAGTTTAGAGTCCAGCCCTGCAAATCTGACTCCCCCACGGCGTCTCTGCGCGTGCGAGCCGCTCTCCTGCCATCGGAGGCTTATCACGAGGGTAAGAGCCGCCGGCTGAGCCTCTCTAATCCGGCCCCCTCTGGATCTGACTGGTGTCGAACTAGGAATTGTGGGCAAGTGTCTAGCAGCATCACCAACACTGCCGCTGCTCGCTGGACTCTGCGAGGACCGTTAGGGGGACGTTAGAGTGAAAGAGCAGCACAGAGCCCTGAGCCAGGGCTGGCGGCTGCAAACAAACGGTATGGGACTGTGGGCCACGCCCGTGATAAGTGGCCATCCGGCTAACTCCAATCAAGCCAGACCACGTGTGGCGGTGCGTTGGGTTTTTCCCATGGTATGGGACTGTGGGCCACGCCCGTGATAAGTGGCCATCCGGCTAACTCCAATCAAGCCAGACCACGTGTGGCGGTGCGTTGGGTTTTTCCCATCTCCTGCACCCCCGTAATGGCACGAAGAGACTCCCCCAGCCAGCAGAATCCAACTCACTCACTTCCAGCCCTGCCCCCAGCCAGGGCTCCACTCCCCTTCTTCCCATTGTTCCGCTCCCTGGGAGATAACTCGTCAGACAGGTTCGAAGCCCCCTTGCATAATGACTCATCCCCCGCACTGCTGGGCCGTGCTGCAGACAGTGGAGGTCACTCACAGCCCACTGCCCAGCACAGCAACCAGCAAGGTACCCCCACTACGTCACACCACGCCAGAGAGTTCTGGGCTAGCGAGGTTCAGCCTGTAGTAACAGCAGCACACTTGTATCAAATCCATTCACAGACGAGAGCCCTTAGGAAATACTGGTAATAAGCATTAGAGCATTTAACAGTCTGTTCTCTCCAACCACTACAATCCGATTGCTGTCGGCATGGCAACCGAGTCACACTGAACAGGAGAAAGGGGTCTGGAGTCTTGCTACATTGCCAAAAGTTTGAAAATGTTGGACTTGGCTTCCCAAAGCCAGGATCTGTGTGACTTGGGAAACCAGTTGGGAGATGCCATTTCTGTTTGCTTGTTTCGTTGCCATAATGCTTGCCTGCTTTTTCTCCTCTCTCCCTTACAGACGCAACCACCAGCTACTACAGTGTGGCCGTAGTGAAGAAAGGAACCGCCTTCACCGTCAGGGACCTGCAAGGGAAGAAATCCTGCCACACAGGGCTGGACAGGTCTGCCGGCTGGGTGATTCCCATTGGGACCCTGGTGAAAAAGGCAATCTTACCCTGGGACAGAAAAACCCCCATAACCCACGGTGAGACGGGGAAGAGCTAAGTGAACATTAAGCTGGCTGTGGGGAGAACGGGGACTGAGTCATGTTGGGGGGGGGGGGGGAAGGGAGCAAGCAACGGAACTTTTGGGGAACGCAGAAACCAACAGAACCATTCACACTTCCTAAGTGTCTCTTCTCCCTCCTCCGCCAGCAGTAAGGGCATTTCCACGACCGCTTCCTTGCTTTGGAATTAATCATCTTCTACACGGGTGTGGTTCTGCAGCCGTTGAAATGGCTGCCCATGTCCTACGCCATCCTGACACAAACCCGAGGAAGTGGAACGATAACTCCTCCACACACAGCCCCCTGCACTGCTGCCAGCCCACAGGCCAGACCCTTAACTCTGCCCCACGGGAGATGCCGACTTTCCAACCTCCCCTTAACCAAAGCACCCCTCCCAAAGCCATATGACTACAGACAGTCTGCACATCCCCTCTCTGCCACATGGCTGTCCCCTCCAAACAGCCCACACGCCTACACCAAGTCTCCTTGCTGGGAGAGGGTCGTATGGCAAAGGATGAACCTGCCAGTAACTACTACCTGTCTTTTTCCATAGCTGTGGCCCAGTTTTTCTCAGCCTCCTGCGTCCCTGGTGCCCCCGCAAATGAACCAAATCTGTGCGCCTTATGCCGTGGGTCATGTTCCCGTACTGGGCCTTATTCTGGATATTCTGGAGCCTTTCAGTGAGTGAAAGTTATTTTTCTCTGGTCCTATTTGTCCCTCCCCTCCCGCCGCCTCCATTTTCACTGTGTCGAGGGACAGCTGGGCCGTAACTAGGGGGTCTCCTGACATTGCTACAGTTGTAATTGGGGGGGGGGGACTCCCGG